TTTCAGTTGGGCCTCTTATACTGTGGAATGGTCTGCCACGAGAGATTAGATCTGCTCCAAACCTGTCTGTTTTTTAATCACTTCTTAAAACGCATTTGTATTCACGGGCCTTCGACAATTTTATTGATTGATGTATTTGTTTTGACTATGTATTTTTCTTGTTATTTTACTGTATAGATGTGTTTTATCTGGTCTTAGGTATCTTTATTATTATTATTATTATTATTATTTGTTTATGTTTTACTGGAAAGCACCTTGTAACGCAGGTTTAGAAAGGTGCTATATAAATAATGCTTGCTTGCTTGCTTAAGCAAGTACTGGTTAGGCTAAGTGCCCAAGACATGGATGTAAGTCAATGTAAGATCTCCACAAGGAATGACAACAAACATGGGTGTATGTATTATATATACAGTATGTGTATGTGTGTGTGTGTGTGTGTGTGTGTGTGTGTGTGTGTGTATAGTGAGAAGGTCATACAGAGTAACATCTACTTTGTGCTACAGTTAATGTACCTGGTCAAAAGTGGTTTCCTCTAGAAAGAAAAACCACTGTTTACATTTAATGTCTGAAAACTGAGCTATACACTCTGATGCTGTACTAAAGTGAAGACTCTTCTTTGAAAAAGTAAGACTGGCAGAACCGCAAAAACAAGCACCTTGATCAGACACTTTTCATGTAGAACCAACATAAATGTGCCATTATGCTTGGTTCGAACACATTCCTCTTTAATATGATATTCTTCACTAGTACACCCCTGGAGTCAATTTAAAGCTTTATTTTTGTTGAACTCTGAATTTGAAATGCATTAATCAACAATAATATTCTTTGAAAACAAATCTCATATTTAAAAAAAAAGTCGAGAGAAAAAAAAAAGGAAAATTAAAACTATAAATGTTTCTGTCACTCACCCCAAAAGTATCTTCCTCAGGTTTGTGTGTCTCTGCAGTTGGGGTTACTGTTAGAAAACACAAAAAATGACTTTAAAAAACACAACAGCTTACTGTCCCTCTGCTTTTGCATAGAAATTGTGCAGAGACTGTCTGAATACATCACAAATAATAAAGCCACAGTGTGACACTGTGCTACTGTGACAGCAGCACACACAGCTACAGATACAAGGAGATCATACACACACATAGTATACGCTGGAAATCAAAGTCATAAAATGATGACACTAAACAGACAGTGAACATATCATCTAGCTCAGCTCTCAATTTTAATATAGTTTTTGTTTGATGTGCTGTCATTTACTGTAAATGTAAACAGTTACTGTTTCATGTCATCATGACCTGCCAGCAATGCACTAATTGATGAAAGAATACAAGTCTGATCTCCCAACAACTAGTACTAGTAACTAGTAACTAGCGCTGACAGAAATCTTTCCAAAAAACTGAAAAATTATGGCAAAATTCAATTAAATGTACTGTTCATATGTAAAAGATGTTTACTTAGACATATTTTAAAAAGCA